CTCTCTTGCCCCCCCAGAAGTCTCCGGAGGGGCCTCCGCAGGGGCCCACGGAGGTTTCTGGGGTCTCCTCCTCCTCCTCCTCCTCCTCCTCCTCCTCCTCCTCCTCCTCCTCCTCCTCCTCCTCCTCCTCCTCCCCCCCCTGTCGTTCTGCGCGCCAGCGCAGCCCCCGCGCAGCATAGCCCGGCCGCGCGCCCCGCCCCCCCGCGCCGGCGTGCCGCGCCCAGACCCGGGGGAGCGGAACGTGGCACGAACCGAGCAGCTCGTTCCCACACCAAGAATCAATGGACGTCCTGGGGTCTCAGGGTTGGGTCTCTTGTGGAACGTTTCTGGTGGACTAACCTCCACTGCATTCTACACGGACGCAAGACCACATCATAAACAGAAATTTCGGGAGGTCCGCGCGGACTTCTCGGATCGGCGCTCGACCCCCCTCCCTGGCGCGCGGGGCGCGCCAGGGGCGGCGCCGGAGGCGCCGCCAAGGGGGCCCCAGCGCCGATCCCAGAAATCCGCGCGGACCTCCGAGATTCTATGTTTATGTCATTTTCTGCTCCCCCTAACATCAAAAGAGACATCATAGCCTCATCAGTCTAGATTGATCCACTCACGGATCCACTGCAATTCATTTCCATTGAATTCATTCCATGCGTAGCATGCTCCCCCCCCCTCCCGCGCGTCCCGCCCTGCACGCCTGCAGCCGCCGCGAGCGCCAGGTCTCGCGGCCCCTTCCCCCACTCTGCGCGGCAACGGCCCCCGCGCAGCCCAGCCGCGCGCCCCCCCCCCCCCCCCGCAAGAGTGGTGTGCCGCGACCACAGGCCCCCCGCCCCCCTCCGCGCCGCGGCCCCCCGCCCGGCACGCCTGCAGCTGCCGCGAGCGCCAGGGCCGCCGCCGGCTCAAGCGCACACCTCGGCGGAGGGGGGGGCGGCGGGGCGACGGAGGAAGGAGAAGTCCAGTCTCCGGTGGCAACTCACGGGAGCCTCCCATGCAATCTGGCCGACTTCTGCGAATCGACGCTGGATCGACGCTAGATCGGCGCCAGCTCGGCGCTAAATCGACGCTACTCGACGCTAAGTCGAGGCTCATCGACGCTAGCCGACGCAAAATCGGCGCAGTCTCATCGAGCTCAAGCGCTACTCGACGCTAGTCGACGCCAATGAAGGAAATAAGAGGGTATACCAGGCTCCCATGATTTGCTACCGAATACAGTCCAACATAGGACAGAAGAACATCCGCGCTGACGACAGCGACGGCGGAGGACGGCGGCGACGACGACGCCCGCGTTGGCAGCGGCGGCGGCGAAGGAGGGAGGAAGCAGTGGCAGGACAGGGGATCTCGTGTTGTGGCCTTCGCGATAAGTATGGGTTTGGCTCAGATCGCAATGCCTGTCGGGTTACAGTCGGACCCAGGCCAGAAGAACATCCCTCGAGAATACGAGACCCTTCCGCCGGGCAGAACAAACAGAGCATCCAAGGGTGCCCCCCCCAGGGTCCACAATAGCATTCAACAGACACGAAGGACACTAGGGCACCCTCCCCGACCCGACCTCGATCTTACACCCCGGTCCGACTGAAACAAGGGAAGGAGGAGTTAGGAGGCAACTACTGGGAGGTCTTCGTCTGAAGAACTAGGGACTAGGGAACATTCAACCCCATTGGGGGGCTGTTAGGGCGGATGAGGCCGCGGATTAGATCAAGCGGGATTAATACGGAGTGTGCCAACTTGAGGGGGATTAAGCCGGATTTCGGACCACAGCAAAATCGCCGACCCCTTGGGGTCTCTAGGCGTGTAAGATTCTTCCACCCCTGTAATCCCCCCTGGGGCCCCCAAACTGACAATTTGACTGCCCCCCAGGCCTACCCCTGGCCTCCGGGTGGTTTCTGGCCGGGCCTGGACCGAACTCACCTGGGGGGTCCAGCCCTCCCCGTGCTCGCTCTGGAGCTCCAAGTACACCAGAGTGCACTGGCCCTGCGTGCGCGTCGACGCCTGCGTGCACCAGAATGCCTGTCTACTCCTCACAACGTTCTTCAACAGCTGCAAATCTTCACGCTTGTGACTGGCTTCCAAGCGTTATCGTTATTCGGCGGCGAGCGGGGGGAAGTGAGAAGGAGAAAGCCTTCTCAGAATGCTCGGAAGCCCCCCGGGCCTTCTGAGAGGTGTCCTGAGCCTTCCCCGAAGACCCAGAAAAAAACTCCTCCTCAACAGACGCGAGGGCTCTTGAGGAGCCCCGCCGCCTTCTGAGAAGGCTCCCTACTTCACTTCCCCCCCTCGTTCGCCGCCAAATGTCGTTTTTGGGTCATAACTCGGGCCTCTGGCGGCCGTTCGGGACGATCCGGGCACCCCCGGAACGCCCTCGGCGAGGCGCAGCTGCTGGCAAGCATCCCGCGGCTGGAAAACCGCCGAGAACCGACGACAGCGCCCAAAAACCTGGTGGAACCTTCGCTCGCCGCTGACATTCGGAAATTCGACTGGATCCCCGGGGGCATTGCAAGACCAGACGGCGGCGCCGCCGACGGCGGACGACCGCGGCGGTGGCCAGCGCCGGGCGGCCGCGCACGGAGGCGCGCCGAGGCCTTCGGCGTGCGCCGCCGCGCGGGTGGCGCATCGCGCGCGCCGCGCCCGGCCATTGGCTCGAGCCGACCGGCGCTGCGCGGCGGGCGCGTTGGCTGCGCGCAGCAGGGGGTGGAGGGAGGCTCGCCATCGCTCGGACGTCCATTTTTTGTGTTTTTTTCGGTTTCGTGCGTGGTTTTTTCGCCAAATGGTCAAGGATGTTCCTCGATGGCCCTCGCCGAAGGAAACATGCACACGTCCGAGCGATGCCAAGGAAGGGGGTGGAGGGAGGCGGGAGGGCCTCTTAGAAGGAGGCCGCTTCTTCGAAGGCGCCGGCCTCGCACCTGTAGAGAAGGCCCGGGCCTTCCAAGAAGCAGGGGTGCCTCTAAGAAGCCCTCCCCCCTCCCCCCACCCCCCTCTGCGCGTGGCTGAGGGCGGACATGGCGACCCCACGGCTCGACGACAAGGGCCAGCGGTGTCGGTGACGTCGGCCGCGACGGCCGCGGCGGCGGCGACTGTGACGACGACCGCGGCGGCGACGACGACGGGCACGACGACGATTGGACGACAACGGGCTGCGACAGGCGACGGAGGCTGCCGCCACGGCGACAATGCCGGACGACGACGCGGGCCGCGGTGCACGGACTATGGAGGCGACGCGAGACCACGGCGGCGGGCGATGACGACGACGGTGGTGGCGACGGCAGCGGCGACAATGGCGATGGCCGCGTCGGACGGCGACGTCGACTGCGAGGCGTGGTGCTGCGGGGCGAGGGGGGGAAAGGATGAGAAGGGAGGGCGAGGGGGCTGGAGAGGGGTAGGGGAGGCAGAGATGGCGAGGGAGAAGAGGGAGAGCGGGGGAGGGAGGCGAGGGAGGGGGAGGAGAGGACGAGAGGGAGGGGCATGACGGCCTGGGCATGCGTCGTGCTCGCATCACCTCCAGCACCCTTCTGCGAAACATCGGGCAGGAAGAGGCATGAATGGGGGAGCGGTGGGAGAGATAGGGGCGCGGCGGACCGCACGGGAGGGAAGGGAAGGGGAGGGGAGGGAGGGGGCGAGGGATGGACGCGGCTTGAAGCCCCTCGGGGGCTCAGCCGAGGGTGACCACGCCGCGCCGCCAAGACCGCCGCCGCGGGTGCGACCACCGAGCCCACTGCCCACGGCAATAGGAGGCCAACCGGGCGGAAGCTACGTGAGGAGACAACACGCTGCAAGCCGCTTCTGAGGCCCAAGAATGTTCCATCAAACTTGACGTTACGAGCTGGCACGCGTAACGGCAGTCGGCATTTCAACAAGGACATCGGGAGTCAAACCGAGGTGTCGAGCAGAAGTATGTAACGTTCACTCGCGCAATCACGATGACCAGCCTCATTTCGAGGACACGTGGCGCAAACATGTTTAACCGATGACAAGGGATGCATGCAGCGTGTGGTAATACATGTGACAGCACGGAGTCTACATGTGTAAACCACGAGTGACGCGCTTTTCTTCTGCGAGCGCCTGCAAACATCAATCTCCTGTCCTCTCCAGCGACGGGTGCTCCAGCCAAGGCCGGGTGCCTTGGGAAGCGTCAGGGGCAGGCAACGTATCACACTTGGGGAGAGAGCGGTCGTGTTTGAGGGCGCCCAGAAGAGTAGACAGGCAGACAGGCAGACAGGCAGACAGGCAGACAGACAGACAGACAGACAGACAGACAGAGAGCCAGAGACAGGCATACAGACAGAGACAAGCCGTACACCAGGCAGTGCGCGTGCGTGAGGCGGAACGTACAGCGCACCCTTGTTCGAAAAGACAAGGCGGGCCGACAACGAAACGCGGGCAAGGCACAGAACAGGGGACCCGGCGGGAAAGCGAGGTGCCTGTGGAGCGAGAGGGGGAGGGTTGGGAGAAGGGGGGACGACAGGAAGACTACAACATACACTCCTAATCGTGCTCCTGCTCCATCTCAGGTTCACCGCAGATCGAACGCTGCATGCCCGCCAGAGCGCTGTGCAGCGGTTTTTGCACTTCTCTCTCTCTCTCTCTCTCTCTCTCTCTCCCCCCCCAGAGCGAGCCTCGGGCCAAAGAACATCTTTCACATGTTGCTCCACGTCCCTGCGCTGCCCTGCCCTCCACGCAAACAACTAGATCCATAACACTCCGTGCCCCTTCCCTGCCCTCCGTGCGCCTTCCCTGCGCTTCCCTGCCCTCCGTGCGCCTTCCCTGCCCCTCCACTGGTGGCGGGGCGGTGGGGGGGCGCATCCTCCCCTCTCGGGCCCTCCCGCGCTGCTCTCTCACACGTCTCGTCTCCTCCCCATGTTCTGCCGCACTTGGCTTCTCCTCCCCTCTAATCCTCCTGTGCACCGACGTGCTGCCGCGCCCCCCAGTCAGTCTACTCCACGAACGACCCGACACCAAGGAACAACAGCTCAGGCACTCAGGATCAAAGAGGCATCCCAAACAATAGCCTCAACCTCGAGGCCGAATCCAAGGCGCGCGACAAAGCCAGAGCCGTGGACAGTGCCCAGCAGATAGTCAAGAATTCGCCGATCTCCAGCGTTTGAGTTCGATCCGATGTGGGAGCCCGAGCATGCCCCACGCGAGCAAGGACTGGCCAGCTCCCGAATCAGTTCGTGGGGCCGAGCGCGAGGCTCCTGCTCCACAGATTAGGGGTGTGGCCACAGGGGCGGCCCCGCCCTCCAGGAGGCCCAGAGAGGGCCCCACGAGGACCGCCACGAGGGGCCCAGGGCGCCCCCGAGCTGAGCGGCGCGCTCCAGAGCGTTCGGGCCGCCGCCACCTCCTCCGAGGACGAGGCGTGCGTGAGCCCGCCCACGAGGTCCTCCTGGCGCGGCGGGAGCGGGGGCGGCGACCCGTTTCTGAATTCAGCAAAGACTGGCTCTTGAATTCGAATTCGAAGGACTGGTTTTTGAATTCAATTGCCCAGTTCCTGACTTCGAAGAACTGGTTTTTGAAGTCAGCAAGAGCTGGTCTTTGTTTCTGGAATTCCAAAAACTGGTTTTGTGTCTTCAACAAAACTGGATTCTCAATTCAAACGGAGATCCACGCGGAGATCCGACATTCGACATTTGTGGTTTTCGAATTCCGCGAACATGGGCTTTGAATCCAAAAGCCAGCGGTGGCCTCTGGTGTGCGCGGCCTGCCGCTCGCGGCGCGCGGCCAGCGCTCGGGCTGGCCGCCCGCCCACTCTCCCTCGGGGCGGTCGCCCGCTCGACGGCCACGCATGGGCGCCTCCCGTGCCCCATCGTGCCGGCTCCTGCGAATCGACGCGAAATCGACGCGAAATCGACGCGAAATCGACGCGAATCGACGCGATATCGACGCTACACCGACGCTGATCGACGCTACACCGACGCTGAATCGACGCCAAATCGACGCGAACCGACGCGACATCGACGCTACACCGACGCTGGTCGACGCCAGCCGACGCTAAGTCGGCGCTGTCGCATCGACCCCCAGGCGCTAATCGGCGCGCCAAGCTCGGCGCTGGAGGCGGAATGCAAAAGGCACACCGTGCTCCCATGACTTGCTGCCGAGCGCCCGGTGTGGGATCCCTCCCGCCTGGCGTGGGATTTCTCTCCCCTCTGTCGGGTCGGGCGAAAAGGGGGGGATAGCCAAGGTGGGTTTGACAATCAGCTCACGTAGCTGATTTTCACGGCGCCTCCCGGCGCCGGAGGCGGCTATGTATCGAGAAATGGCCCCCTCGGTGAGGCCGAAACCAGCTGCATGCAGCAAATTTCGTAACCCCCTTTCCCGATCCCCCCCTTTCGCTCGGCCCGACTCTGGCGTTCGGTGCGCAGCTTCACGGCATGCTCGGGTCGGGCGCGAGCAACTTTTTACGACGCTGGCGGCCTGCGCGCTAGGACTCGGCCCCTCCGCGCCCCGCCAGGAAGCCGCGCAGCAGAGGCACGACGAAGCCAGCACGAGGGTAACATCGGGTGAGGAGGAATTCAAATCTGGGCATGTCCTCCTACAGGCGGATTTTGGGCGACAAATAAAACATAGCCCAACAATGTTCAAACATAGTTAGCGAAGCAACATCGTCCCCAGACTATTTTTTTGCCTAGCATTGAATACTCCTCCTCTAGGGGGACACGCCCGACTTGAGGATACATCAAGAATCTCTGCGACCCGGCGGATCTGAGATGTTGATGATGATGTTGATGATGACGATGATGATGCTGCTGATGATGCTGATGATGACGATGATGCTGCTGATGATGATGTTTATGATGACGATGCCGATGCTGCTGATGATGATGATGCTGCTGATGATGATGATGATGATGATGACGATGACGATGCTGATGCTGATGACGATGCCGATTACGATGCTGATGCTGATGCTGATGACGATGAGGATGACAATGACGATGACGATGAGGATAATGATGATGATAATGAGGATGCCTCGGGCGCCAACGGCCTCCCCGGAGCGTGCCGGAGAGCACTTCGAGAGCGTCCCGGAGCCGAGAGTCGCCGGGGAACTGGAGGGCGCGTTCGCCGAAGGGTGCGCTTGCAGTAGGGGCTCGACCACGAGAACCCTTTCACAAGAAGCCCAACCCTGAGATCCCCTATTTGAGGAATGAAAAAACGACCCTACCCTGGGTTACAAGTGCGTGGTCTGTGAACCTCCTGAGCCTGGGAACCCCCAAAGCCTAGAGAGCCGCCAGGACGCTGCATATCACGCAGCGTTTACACTGTCAGCCCACAGGAGTTTCAGCGCACAGTGCCTCGTAAAGGTAGGGGCGTTTTTTATGCCCTTGACCCAGGACGTCCATTGATTTCTGGTGTGGGAGCGTCGCGCCTTCCATCGCAGAACCATCGAAACCCAAGAAACCCAGGGCACCCCGGTGAGCGTTTCTCTTACTCGGCGTTTCGACGTTGGGCGGAGGGGGGGGGCCTGGCTCCAGACCTCTGTTTAGTGCGACTGTCTGCAAGAGTGCTGCCTCTGGGGGAGACTCCACCTGCTCGAAACAGGCGCCAACAAAACGGCCAAGATCTACTCCACGGGAAAGGGGAGGGCAGGGGGTGCGAGAGCCCGCGCCAATCGGCCAAACAGGCAATAAAAAGCGACCACTGGGGCACCCCGGAGGCACGCAGGGTGTTCCTTGGCAGGGGCCTCCACTGTCGGCGTCAACTGTCCACCCCAACGCTCCCAGCCGGGCCCCTCCCTCGCCATCGCTCGGACGTCCATTTTTTGTGTTTTTTATTTGGTTTCGTGCGTGTTTTTTTCGCCAAATGGTCAAGGATGTTCCTCGATGGCCCTCGCCGAAGGAAAAATGCACACGTCCGAGCGATGCCAAGCTCCTGGGCTGAGGATCGACGCCTCCCTGGCAGGGCCAGGGAGGCACGCACGTGCACCGGGGCCTCAAGGGGTCCAGGAGCACACACAAATAAATAGACACACGTCCGAGGATTCCCAATAGTTTCTCATATGTTCTGGGTTTTCGTCTCCCTTCCACTTCCTTACATTTTTCCAAATTTTCCGGGGAATCGACGATGTGTTGGGTCTGTGTCTTTTTTCCCATTATGAGGTTCACGTGTCCCGACAAACCTCTGGCTTGGACGCCGTAGAACGTCCGACTTGGGACAGGGACTTCGACGATCAAACAAGAATCGCTGATCCACCCGACCCAGCCACGGGCCAGAATTCACACACACACACGCACACACGCACTCATCGCCTCGAGAACATAGAACCCCAGGAGGCAGTGGACATGGAATTCCTTTGGACTCCCAGGGCCCGAAACTACCCACATCGACTGCCTCTTGGGGCGGGCTTCGGGTTTCCGAGGCGGCGGCTACACGCAATAATGACCATAGGCAAGAGTGACCTTGCCTGCGCGGCTGCAAGGGGGCGAGAAGGGGGGGGCGGCAGCCCAAAGGCGCAAGCCGCTGCTGCCGCACCGCGCTCGACGATCGGGGGGACCACAGGGGGAACCGCACCAGAGGCCACTCAAGCGAAAGGCACTATTACTCGGGGGGCTCCCAAACGGTGTGGTGACAACACCGCGCGGTGAGTCGTGGGGATTCGGGGTCCTCGCCCAATTGTGGGACTCGGGCCGCTCTCCGAGGACGTGCAAGGCGACTGGGGTTTCGAGGCCCCACGACCGTGCGGTGACGGACCGACCGCGCGGTGAGGTCGCGTGGGCTTTCGAGGTCACCGCGCGGTCTGTTACCGCGCTGTTTTGGGACCCCGATTTACGCGCAGTCAGTCAGTCAAGCCTGGTGCTCACACGGCGCAAGGTCTTCGGGTAGGCGATGCACTGGCTTGACAGCGCGTGTGATATTCGCGTATCGAGAGAGCGCACTGCTGCCGCCACCGTGTGTCACGCAATACGCGCGCACGTGTGTATGCATGCATGTATATTAGTGTATGCGCGTATGCATGCATGCATGCATGCATGCATGCATGCATGCATGTATACTGTATGTATGTATATACGTTCGTACGTATGTGTATATGTAAATATGTATGTACGTGCGAACGTACGTATGCACGTATGCATGCATGCATTCATGCGTCTATATGTATATATATATATATATGTATGTATATGTATGCATGCATTTATGCAGGTATGTATATATGTCTGTATAAATGTGTAGGTGTGAATATAGGTCTTTATGTCTATGTCTGTCTGTCTGACTGTATGTCTGTCTGTCTGTCTGTCTGTCTGTCTGTCTGTACGTACGTATGCTTGTATGTATGCATGCGTGTGTGTATGTGTGCATGCATGTAGGTATATATGTATGCATGCATTCATGCATGTATGTATATGCATGTACGCATGTACGCATGTAAACATGTATGTTTGGTTGTATGGATGTATGCATGTATGCATGTACGCACGTACGTATGTTTGTGTGCATGTATGTATGTACGTACATGATTACGTACGTATGTATGTATGTACGTGCATATGCATGTACGTAATACAGGTATACGTATGTGGGTATACATATGTATTCTTATAGTTACATATATATATATATATAGACGCATGCGTGTATGCATATCTGTATGTATACATGTGCATCTGCATGTATGCATGCATGCATGCATGTACGTATGTATATGTATATAGATTCGTTCTCAAGCGCGCCCCGCTTTTGCCCCCGCTGCGTCTGGTAAACCGACCGCAGTGCAACACGTATGTATGTATGTATGTATGTATGCATGCAATTATGTATGTATGTATGTATGTATGTATGTACGTATGTACGTACGTACGTACGTACGTACGTACGTAACGTACGTACGTATGTATGTATGTATGTATGTATGTATGTATGTGTGTATGTGTGTGTGTGTGTGTGCACGTGACGTGTGCGTGTCGGTGTGCGTGCTTCCGCTCACGCAGGCCCTCTCGAGTCACACGCGTGTTGGCTGGCTCAGGCGAGCAGGCACCACTACTTGCACGCTGCCCTCCGGCGATACTCTCCTCCCCGTGCTTCCGGCAGGGGGGGGGGGGGCAGGAGCGGTCACCAGCGCAGCGGGACATCGGGTCGGACTCCAGCGCGCCTCGAGTCGGGCCGCATCGGCACCGAACCAGGACCGAACCGCACCGGCCGCGCCAGGAGGCGCAACGCCGGCATGAAAGCGTCGGGCCGCATAGACTCGTCGGAATATCTCGGAGCCGTGGTCGGAGCCAGCGGGCCGCAGCCGCTACCGTGGGATGGGACCGGTCGGATCGCCATGGGCCCGTGGGGGGTGCCCGTGGGGGCTGCCCGTGAGGCCCGATCGGGGGGGGTGGGGGGCCATGGCCGGGCGGACCGCCTCGGAACGTCCTGCCGCTCGCCCGAATGGACGGACGGCCGAGCGGAGTCGGCCACGTCCTCGGCCTCGTCGTTCGCAGGTCGCGTGTGCACGCCTCGGTTCGAGGACGTCGCGCGCTCACACCCATTGGAACCCACGACGTGAGGCAGCTCTGCGGGCCTTCAGCTGCAAATCCTGCTCGATGAAGTCGGCTATGCGCAGCGTGTCCCAGACCTCTTCCTGCACGGGGTGCGCAAGACTGTGAGCACGCCTCTACTCACAGGATTTGGCCTCACTTGCGCTCCACTCGACTTGGGCAGTTGCGCCCTGGTCGCAACTTGCATATGGCAACCATGCCCGACTTGCGACGCCGCAACACAAAATACTGAACTGGCCTCTAAACGTGCGTTAGCTGGCAGCAACACGTCATCACACATGGAATCAATACAAACTGCGCCCCCCATATCAGCAGGACAAGTGCGGAGGCACAGCATAAGGTGTCCAAATGCGTTGATGGACGATACAATTATACGACAATCGGGATCCCGAAACCTGGGGTGTTGATTTGAGCAAACGTGCAGCAGCCTCGAAGTATCATTGATGTGCGAAGGCACTTTGGGCCACAGTCGATACCTATACGACCACCCTTCGGGTGACAAGGAGGTAATCGATCTCGCTATAGATCTTACGATTGATCTCAATCGATCTCACACTCGCGTTCACAATCGATCCCACTATCGACCTCACTGTCGATCTCGCAATCGATCGCACTACCGACCTCACTATTGATTGCACGACCGATGCAACTATCGATCTCACGATCGACCTCACTATCGATCCAATTATCGATCTCACCACGTTTCGGTCGTTATCGATCGTTCTATCGATCTCGCTACCGATCGGGACACCACCGGGACGTCACGGCGGGTTACCGCGGGACACCGCGAGACACCACAGGACACCACGGCACGCCGCGGGACACCACTGGGACACCGCGGGACACCACGGGACACCACGAGACACCATTGGGACACCACGGCGGGACACCGCGGGACACCATCGGGACACCGCGAGACAGCACGGCGGGACACCTCCGGTCACCGCGGGCCCACCAGAGGGCCATTCTCTTGCATCCGAATCTCCCTAGCGCCGGCGCGATCCTTCCTCTCCCGCGCCCACGGCGGGACACCGCGGGACACCATCGGGACACCGCGAGACACCACGGCGGGACACTCCTGGTCACCGCGGGCCCACGGGAAGGCCAGACTCTTGCATCCGACTCTCCCTAGCGACGGCGGGATCCTTCCTCTCGCGCTGCGCAACTTCGCCTCGCCCGCACGCGCGACACGAACACGAAACCCGAACCGATAGTCCACTGCGATCTCACCCCCCAACCTCCGAAGTGGTACGAGGCTGGGGGAATCATGAAGGCGTCCTGACACTCAATTTCGACTGCACTTTACGCTTGCGTCTGCGGGCCCACCGGCGAAGTACGCACACACAAACACCTTCGGCGACCAGAGTCATGAAAGCTGCGGCTGCCTCTTCGGATCTTGTCTGGAATGACAGCTCTCACTCCTGGCATCACCTGACACGCCGAATGCGGGGAAGAGAATACCGACAGGGCTGATGCCCAGCGCGGTACCCTCACTCCTGGGGCAGATTATTCGTCGTGGGTCGCCTTCTGATGGTCCCAGCCTTCGAAGGCCGAAGTTGAGAAACGTAGTATGCTGTGTTGCTTTTGTGAGGCCAAGAGGTCTGGGGATAAGGAGGACGAGAAAGGTGAATGAAGAAGCTGCTGCTGATCGCCTTCCCCCGCCCCAGTGTAGCCCTCCTCCTCCACCTCCACCTCCTTCCCCTCCCCCCCCTGCCCCCCCCCTCCACCTCCATCTCTTCCTTCTCTTCCTACTCTTCGTTCTCGCCCTCATGGTCGCCCTCGTCCTTGTCCTCCTCCTCCTCCTCTCTCCTCCTCCTCTCTCTATTTCTCCTCCTCCTCCTCCTTCTCCTCCTCCTTCTCCTCCTCCTCCTCTCGCTTTTTCCTCCTCCTCGTCCCTCCCTCCTCCTCCTCCTCCTCCTCCTCCTCCTCTTCCTCTCTTTCTCCTCACCTTCCTTCCTATCTCCTCCCCTCCCTATCTCCTCCCCGTCGTCCTCCTCCTCCTCCTCCTCCTCCTCCTCCTCCTCCTCCTCCTCTCTTTCTCCTCACCTTCCTAGCCTATCTCCTCCCCGTCGTCCTCGCCCTCCGCCCGCTCCCCCTCCACCAAGCGCCCCTCCTGCCCCCTCACGCCTCCCTTCCTCCCGCTATCGTCCTCCTCCTGCCCCTTCTCGCCTCGCCCCCCCGTCCTCCCAGGGGAGGCAGGAGCACGACCAGGGAAGGAATGTCGTCGTCGTCGTCGAAGGGAGGCACAACCATGACGCTATGCTGGCAGGAGGGAGGGACGAGGGAGGGGGCAGGAGGGGGGGAGGCAAACGAGGACGAGGAGCAGGCGCAGGACGAGGGAGCACGACAGCGGACACCTGAAAGAACAGCAGCCGTCCCAAGGGCGAGCATGCTGCAGCACCGGCATGCAACCAGGGATCCAAGGCCACGCTGCCCCCCCACTAGCCAATGCACGAGGCAGGAAGACGACGGCAGCGACGACCACGACGACGGCGACGGAAGACGACGACGACGACCAGGACGACGGTGACTTGGATAAGAGAACGCTGTATCAGACTAAAACTTTCGGAGGTCCGCGCGGATTTCTCGGATCGGCGCTGACCTCCCAGAGCGCGCCAGGGGCGGCGCTGGGTCCAGCGCCGAGCGCTGATCGCGGACTCCACACCTTTACACGTATGCAGTTTTCTCTTGATTCCCCGACGACTCGGAGAAGGGTGAGCTGAGACAACGGCAGCTCAACATCTGTTCCTGGACCCTCCTTTGGACCACACGCACCACTTTTCAGAGCTGCGTCCAACCACTAAGAGTGTCCCACGACGGCCGAAAAGGCCCCTCAAACGGGCCCCAAAACGACCCCGTAGGAGCCCATTTCCATCATTCGTGATAACGTCGGGGGCGTTCAAACATGGATTAGCGATCAAGGGATTTAGCGCGCGGTCGCAAAAACCATGGATCGGGGGAGGTGCCCTTCCCGAAATGCGGCCGGTGCCGCCTCGCTCGACGGCGGAAACCCGCGATTTTCCATGGAAGCGGGACCCGTCGCTGATCCACGCCCCCCTTGGTCCATGCTTGCGATCGCCCGATGAGGCTCGTGACCTGCCCCGCCCCCCCCTCCCGCCGGCGCAGTCTGGTAATGAGCCATCCTCGAGCACTCCCCGACGGCACTCGCGGGAAGCGCGACGTGCCCCGCCCCCTCCCCCCACCTCTGCCTCCCCCCCCTGGTCACGCCCGCTATCGCCAGGAGATACAGCAGAGCGGGCTCTGGACTCAGGTCGGGCACGTCCTCCTACAGGCGGGTTTTGAAAGACAAGTCAATTTGATCAAACAATGCACAACCAATCCAAACAGTCGAAACATCGTCCCCAGACTACGTCTTGACTCTTTCTGAATTTTCCTCCTGTGGGGGGACATGCCCGACTTCGGTCTAGGCGCCCACGACTGCCCAACGACCGAAGGCCAACTACCGTTGCTTCAGCTCGCGCTCCTTCGCACGACGATGGCCATGACGACGACCACCGACGGACGGCGGCGGACCGCAACCGCGGCGACTCTGCTGCCCGCCGCGGGCGCGGCGCCTCCTCGTCGGGCGCGGCGGACGCTGCCGACGCGGCGGCGGCGTGCGCCTGAGGAGCGGCCCTCAGCTTAGGGGGCGCCGAGGGCTGCACGACCGACGGCGGACGCCGACGACGGACCCGGAGCTCGTTGAAGGGGCCCTGGGACACGCAAATAAATACACACAAATAAAACTATTCCCCATATTTTCCTATATCTTCTGGGTTTCTGTCTTCCCCCCGCTTCCCATATTTTCCCATGTTTTCTGGGGGATCGACGATTCATTGTGTCTGTGTGTTTTTTCTCCCCTCCTGACTCGCTTGGGTCGTGGCCGAGGGGCCCGCCAAGCGAGTCAGGTCTCAGAGGAGGCGAGGCCCAGGTGGGCGGGCGTCGGCCACTGTGTGGAGCCTCTTGGCCTGCCGGGCCCCCCTGGAGCCCCTCGTGGCCCCTCCGCAGGTCTGGGAGAGAGAACTTCCTCCAGCTTCAGGGGTACCGACTACCTACCAGACCACCCCAACCCAACCCGAAGAGCCCAATTTCGGGTTGGGGGGGGGTACGGGTTCCAGATGTGTTTTTTGCAATGTTCCCCGACCCCCCCCCCAACTGGAAATGGAGGGCAAATTGAGGCCTTCGGGTTGGGTTGGGGTGGTGTGGTGGGTGGTGAGGTATCTGAGCGACGATCAAGAACGGGTCTTGCGCGAGATGCCATGGCGAGCCGTTGCCGCGGCGTACGCGGGCCACCATCGCGGCACGCCACTCAGAAGGCGAGGGCGCCCACGTGCGACCTTATACGCGGGCAGGTTGCGCGTGACTGTCGGCGACGACGGCCTCGCTGTCTTGCCTCGCTCACCTGTAGTCCTCGGGGGGTTACCTGCACTCCGTGGAGGGGGGCACATGGAGTCCGGGGACCCGGAGCTATTGAGAGACGCAGACTGCAGCCGACGACGGACACCGACGACGGACGACAGACGACGGCGACAGACGGCAGCGGCCGAAGTCGGCGGCGATGACGCTGGCGGCGGTGGATGGCGACGGCGGCGACCACGCCGACGACAGGGGGCGACCAAGACGGCAGTCGCGGCGGCAGCTGCGGCCGATGCCGACGCCGACGGCGCCTCCGCCGCCGCCGAGGACGACGACGCCGAGGACGAGGACGACGATGGGGGGACAGGGACGACGGCGGGCAGCTGCGACCGCGGCGACGCGGCCGGGCCGCGACCGCGGGCACTGCAGTCTGGCTCGGGCTCCTTCTCCTCCTCCTCTTCCTCCTCCTCTAAGACGAAGCCCAAACGAGGATAAGATCGGGTGAGGATAAATCGAGAATCTCTCAAATCTGGCGGTTCTAGAGGATGTCTCGGGCGCCGCCGCCATCTGAGAGCGTCCCGGAACGCTCCGAGTGCGTTCTGGAACGCTCTGGAACGGATTTCTCCTCGTCCGAGCCCCGTCTGGTCCTTCTCCTCCTCCTCCTGCCCAGGACCCCCGACGCCGCAATTTTGTCCGCAACGTCGGCCCCCAGAGGTCTGAACCACTTCCTCGGGACCCGTCTTTCGTCCTGAATGGTTTTTAGCGGCCCTGAGGCCTGGCAAGGGCCCTCGGAGGCTGAAGATAGCGAAAAACCTCCCGTCGTGCTTTTCTCCACGGCGCGAGGGGGTCTGGGTCCTCCTCCTCCTCCTCCTCCTCCTCCTCCTCCTCCTTCGAGGGGAGGCGCCGGGCACAATCGAGCAGAATGCTCGTCCTCCGGAGATCCGAGAGGAACCAAAAGGGCGCCGGGCGCCCTGGCCCCGCACGCCGCGTGCAGCCGGGCGCCGTCGAAGGCCGGCCTTCCGGCTTTGTTTAGGTCGGGCATGTCCTTGGAAGAAACATAGATAAACCAAAAATCGTTCAACGTAGTTGAACATTGAAGACGTAGTTAAACATTGAAAACGTAGTCAAACATCGAAACGTGGTCAAACATTGAAAACGTAATTAAAAACGTACTTAAACGTAATTAGTTAAACACTGGTCCAACACATCTTCCAACGTAGGTAAACATGGAAAACGTAGTCAAACATGGGCAAACCAAACATTGTCTCCAGATTTTTCCTGTGCGAAACAATGTTTGACTACTTTTGGATAAGCCAATTTTTCTGGGCGTCGCAGTGTTTCTCTGCGAAACAATGTTTGTGGACAAACCAAACATCGCCCCCAGACTTTTTTGCTGTGCGAAACAATCTTTGACTGCTCCTTCCGTGGAGGGACGCCGTGCGGAGAGGCCACGGGCGCCCCCCGGCTCCTGCTGGGGGCCGGCCCGGCGCCGTCGGGCGTTGGTGCCTCCCTGTGCTGCTCGAGGGCAGTGGCCGCGGGCGCCCCGCGGGAGGACGACGAGGCACCCGCCGGCCGATAGGGTCTCAAGTCGGGCCTGTCCCCCTACATAAAAGAAACAATAGCCAACAATAGCCTGTCGTTACTCAGGCCTGTCCCCCTACATTAGGGGGATTTTGGACGAGAAAGAGAAGATAGCCCCAAAATGCCCCCCAAATACCCCAAAAATGCTCAAAACATCGTCCCAAGACTATTTCTTGACCACCTTTGAATATTCCTCCTGTGGAGGGACAGGCCCGACGTAACGAGAGGGCCCGGGGAGCGGGCTCGCAGAACACACGTGCGGAAGCAGTGGGCCCGGCATCCGGAGGCTGGGGGAGGGGGGAGGGCGCAGGAGGCCAACGAGGGAGGGCCAAGGAGAAGGAGGGGAGGAGTGCAGAGAGGGAAAGAGAGAGAGAGAGAGCCGACGACGACGACGACGCCGACGACGCCGACGACGCCGACGACGCCGACGACGACGGCGACGGCGACGGCGACGGCGACGGTGGCGACGACGGCGACGGCGGCGTCAACGGGCGACGACGACGAACGGCTGCTTCACGACCACGACGACGACGACACTCTACGGCGACGAAGGCGACGACAAGCTTCTGGGGCCCCAGAGGTCGCAGAGGTCTCCGGATTTCCGTGAGAACCACAGCGATCCTGACCAAAACGCCCAAAAACCTCGAACCGACAAAAACTACGTGTCTGTCGAAGTCGGACTTGGCATCCGAGAAAAAATCGCTGCCCTGCTCTTCAAACTCGAACCTGGCCTCCAAGGGCGCACACAGCCCCCCCCATGCGAACGCCGAACTCGACCTCCAACGCGCCTGCTACTCTTCTGTGAAGCCGAACTCGGCCTATCCTAAGCCTGCCCTAGGGATTTCTGAACATCTCTGAAGGATCTCTATACAGTCCAGGATAATCTTTATCATCATCATCATCATCATCATCATCATCATCATCATCATCATCATCATCATCATCATCATAATCATTATCATCATCATCATCATCATCATCATCATCATCATCATGATCATCATGATCATCATGATCATCATGATCAGCATGATCATCATGATCATCATCATCATCATCTTCATCATCATCATCATCATCATCATCATCATTATCATCATCATCAGCAGCAGCAGCATCAGCATCATCATCAACATCATCATCATCATCATCATCATCATCATCATCATCATCATCATCGTCACCATCTTCATCATGATGCTGCGATATCTGGGAAGACGTGTATTATCCCCCCTGGACCCCAAACTTTAGGAGCACACAATTACAACGCAGGTCCTCGGAAGGCCGGCAACGGCGGGAGATACAGTCAACCCGTATAGCAAGGCTGCGCGGTCAGGATGCACAAGCCTCGGGCGCCCATGCCGAAGCCCTCCGAGTGGGGTTGCCCATCGAAAGTGGCGAAGGATGGACCGAAGATGACCGAAGGCGGCGCGCCGAAGGGGGTACAGGGAGAGGGGAAGGCTTCTCAGAAGGCGGTTGCCTCTCAGAAGGCGCAGGCCGCCCTTCTGAGAAGCCAGGGGCGCGCCGCTTCTTGGAAGCACCCCAGCAGCGTCTTATAAAAGCATGGAGCTGCTTCTCGGAAGCAAGAACAAACAAAAACTTCCAGAGGCAAGCCGCTGGCTTCGGAACTGGAAGCTCGCCATGAGCAGCTTCTGAGAAGCGGCCACGCGCCTCTCAGAAGGGGCGCCCGCGCCGTCCGAGAAGAAGGGCGGCGCTTCTGAGAAGCCTTCCCCCCTCCCGCCCGGCCCCCTCTCTGCGCGTGGCTGCCCTTTGGAAGCTGGGCCTCCTTGCCACCATCAGGTCGGGCGTGCTCCCCCTGCAGGTGGATTTGGAACGACGAATAATGAGATACCCCCAAACATGCCGAAACATGATCAAAAAGAGTAAAACAACGGCCCCAGACTGTTTTTTGGGTCCGCAACATCTAGTCGACGTGTCAGGGGGGGGTTCCACCCCCGATACTGGGAGGTCTTCGTCGGAAGGATTAGGGAAACTTGAGAATCATTGGGGGGCTGCTACGCCGGATTCGGCCGAGGATGAAGCGGGATTGAAGGGGAGGAAGCGGGATTAAGCCGGATTTTGCAAATCGAACGGGATTAGGCCGCTTTTCGGACCAGGGCAAAGTCAGAATTTGACCTCTCAGGAGCTGCATCCGACGGAAATAAGAAGGAGAAGGCCTGCTCAGAAGGCTCGGAAGTCGGCGCGGTCCCCAAGGCCCCGACCTCTCCCCCTGTTTTTTGTCGCCTGGGGTCCGTTTTTGACCCAGGGGCTCGAGAACGGGCCCCAGGAGCCGATGTCAGGAAAAAAAGGTCAGATTGAAACAATCATGCTAGCCACAGTGGGCCCCAAACAATGGCTGCTTATTGCACTGCGGCGGAGTAAGCTGTGTGGTTCAAGTTGTGTAGTGTGGGCTGTGTGGTGCAGGAGACGTTGTGCAAACTGGAGTCAGCACCTGCGCGGCAGCGGGCGGCGGCGTGGCGAAACCTCGGCGGACCCATCCAGCGCAAGAGGCGGCAGTGGGGCCCCCGCTGGCGGCAACGGGGCGAAACCTCGGCGGACCGCCCGGACGCGGAGGGCGGCGGCGAGGTGGCAACCGGGCCACCCGGCAACACCTGGGCGGACCCCCACGCGCGGCGGGCGGCGACGAGGCGGCCACGGGCGGCAAAGTGGCCAAACAACATCGGCGGACCCGTCCAAGTCCCCCAGTGGCAGAAGGAGGGCCCCGGAATTGCAAGCACTGCTGTGTGGGAGTGCCGTCGGAGATCTGGATCCCCCCTGCCCCCGGGGAGAGGTCGGCGGCGACCCATGGTTGGTGCGATGGTCAATGCTGCCTTCCTCTTACGCAGCGAGAGAAACTACCCCAACGGGCCGAATCACTATTTCGTAATCCACATGCTGGTTGGTCCGTTACTCAGGCGGTCCGCGCAAAACGCCCGCCCCGCGACCCACCGTTCGGGTTTACGAAACGGTGGTCCAGAGCTTTGAGCTCATAGTTTGATGACCCAGACTGTTTTGACACACTGGCTCAACCACCGACTGAGGAGCAACGAAAGGGGGGGACTGGCATAAGGGGGATGCATCGACCTGGCCTCCGATCGTGAATCCGCACTTTCCTGGGCACGTTGGGGCTATCGGGCCCCTATCGGCAATGAATGGCGATTGGGGGTCGATGCATCCCACCGTATGCCTTTCCCGCTATTGTTAACCCCCCAAAACTGTTTTCGTACAGTGGCTCAACCACCAAGGCCCCAGCCATCATTTCGCCGGCGGCGAGTCTGGGGGCGAAGGGAGAAGGGGCGGGCCTTCTCAGCAGGCTCGGAAGTCCCCCAAAGACACAGGAAATCTCTCGGAAGGTCGGAGGCCTTCTGAGAAGCCCCGCCGCCTTCTGAGACCGCCTTCTCCTTGTCACTTCCCCCCCTCGCGCGCCGCCGAATGTCGTGTTTTGGGTCATAACTCGGGTCTCTGGCGGCCCTGCAGGACGATCCGGGCACCCCGGACACGCCCTCGGCGAGGCGCAGCTGCTGGCAAGCGCCCCGGGACTGGAACGCCGCCGAGAGCCGACGAAAACGCCCGAAAACCTCGGGCCTTCCCTCGCCGGCGATTTCCGGAAATTCGAACGGATCCCCTCCGACGCTGGCCCACCCAGGGCAGCGAAACATGTCGACTCTCTGACATGGAGGAGTTTAAAGGGGGAGCCCCTGCCGCCCAAGACCCGCCCCCGCCAGGATCCGACCTCATCCTTGCCCAGGCAGGTCCAGGGCGGCGCAAGCTTCACCACGGCCGAAGGCCGACTCGCTGCCGCAACTGCGCCTCCGCTGCGCGCCGTCGCATCGCCCGGCACCAGCGGCAGCGCTGGCGCACGGTGGCGGACGGGCGGCGCGGCGGCGGGCCGCCTGCTGGGCGATGGCCTCCCCGTCCTCCACCACCTGCTGCGGGCGGCCCCGGCGGGGGGGGGGGGCTCGCGCTGCCGCCCCGAGGAGGAGCGCGCGCGGTGCGTCCCGGGCCTCCCTTGATGGGCTTGTTTTCCACCGCCACCACCATAAGTTGGAGGGCGAGGGGGTCCTCCTCCTCCTCCTCCTCCTCCTCCTCCTCCTCATCCTCCTCCTCCTCCTCCTCCTCTTTGTCCTCCTCCTCCTAGTTCTCCACCTCCTCCCCCCCTCCAACTTATGCTGGTGGTGGTGGAAGACAGGCCCACCACCCCGGCCCCCCCCCCCCCCCCGGGGAGCGCGGCTCCCTCGTCCAATGGCCGGGGCACGCGTGCCAACGATTCCTCTGGGGCGCGGCGCGGGGCGGCGGCCGTGGGCGCCTCGCGCAGTGCGCGCAGCAGCGGCTCCACCTCCTCGGCGGCGCGCGGGGGGAGGGAGAGGTCGAAGGGGGGGATCCCTCGCCCTGTCCTCCTCCCGCCCTCGTCTCGGCGGCCCCCCACCTCCTCATCGTCGTCCGCCTGCCCCCTCCTCCCCCTCATGTTACCCCCTCCTCCTGCACCCTCCTGGGTCCTCCTGACACCTCCTCGTCCTCCTCCTCCTCCTCCTCCTCCTCTTCTCCTCCTCTTCCTCCTCCTCCTCCTCCTCCTCCTCCTCCTCCCTCCTCCCTCCTCCCTCCTCCCTCCTCCCTCCCTCCTCCTCCCTCCTCCCTCCTCCTCCCTCCTCCCTCCTCCTCCTCCTCCTCCTCCTCCTCCTCCTCCTCCTCCTCCTCCTCCTCCTCCTCCTCCTCCTCCTCCTCCTCCCCCACTGCTCCTCCTCCACTTCCTCCTCCTCGTCGTCGTCCTCCTCCTCCTCCCCCCCTGCCGCCCTCCTCCTGCTCCGGCCCCCTCCCTGTCCTCCTGCTGCCCATTCGTCCTATTCCTGCCCCCTCCTCCTCCTCCTCCTCCTCCCCTCCTCCTCCTCCTCCTCGCCCACGCCTCCTGCTGCCCCCTCCTCGTCCTCTCGTCCTCCTGCGCACTCCTCGTTGTCGTCCTCCTGAACCTCTCCTCGCCCTCCTCCTCTTGCCATCGGTCGGGCGTCCACTTCCCGTGCACCGTCTGTTTTCATTCGCGCTGTTTGTTTACATCACAAAAAAATCCACGATGCTCGAAGATGACGCAGATGTTCTGGCACGGGCCATGCCGAGAAAAACTGTCATCGCCTCGGCAAAACATTGGCTTTCCCAGGTCCCCGTGGATTCCCCGGGTCGGCGCCGAAACACCACCCCTCCCAAAACCTCCAATCGCGCCTCAACAAACCGCACTCAACGCGCTCCGCTTGGCAGAGCCCGCAATGGGTACGGAAAGCATGGGTACGATGCCCAGCAGCAAACATGGTCAGGACTCGGCAGCGGCAGCTGCTGAGCAGGCGGCCTTGCCTCCTCTTGCCCGCTCGTCATCTTGCCTCCTCGTCGTCCTCCTGCCACCTCCTCGACGCCCTCCTGCCCCCTTGTCGACGTCCTCCTCTTCGGCATGCGTATCCTGAACAGGTCTTTGATACCTTGATGCAATCATGGGGAACTCATTATCTTTGGCGCGGTCTTGTTGGCGGATTGGCACCCCAAAATTACTGGGAACATAAGGATTTCACCGAGGTGGCCACCGTTCAGGCCTCTGCAGTCGTCATCGTTGCATTAGAAGCCTCTTGAGGTTAAACATGCATCCCGACGCGCGGAAAGGGTTAGGGAAACATATGTGTGCAATGGCCAATGACAATTTTGTCCAAAACCGACGGCGGCAGCTGTTGGCCAGGCGGCCTTGCGTGTTCAAAAGAACAGCGTCCGCGGCAGGCGCGGACAGCGAGTCCTGCTCAGAATGAACAAGCACTGCTGCTGGGCCTCGCATCCGTCTCTCCGTGCCCCTGCCGATCGTCCCGACCAGCAGGCTTTCCGAGGCCCGCGCGGCCTCCTCGGGCCGGCGCCGAGCCCCCCCCCCCCCATGCCTCCCAAACCTCCTGGCAGGGCGTCCGGGCTGCCCCCTCCGCGCGCCTCTCGCACGCCAAGGGATAGGGCTTTTCTGTTGTGTCGGCGGGGCTGGGCGCCGCACCAGAGCGGACCTGCGTGAGCACGCTCCTCTTCCTCCTCCTCCTTCTCCGCCTCCTCCTCCTTTTCCTCCTCCTCCTCCTTTTCCTCCTCCTCCCCCTGCCCCTCCCCCTCCTCCCCCTCCTCCCCCTCCTCCCCCCTCCTCCTCCTCCTCCTCCTCCTCCTCCTCCTCCTCCTCCTCCTCCTCCTCCTCCTCCTCCTCCTCCTCCTCAAGAGAGTAGTACTGCGCGGCCGATGTGCAGTCCATGTACTATGTACGCCAGTTGTAAGAATTCGCACGCGTGAAACTGCGCAAAAACGTGCACCACACATGCAGGACTTCAACTCACACTACAGTCGAAATCTACACTACGGACGGGCAGTGAGGACGCCGAAGTAGGTACAACTTTGGGCGGCGGGTTGCCAACAACCTGAGGGGCTGGCCAGCGACAGCCGCGAGACAGAAGGCGAGGCTCGGGCGGGCCACGATGCAGCCACGAAACGCGTGAGGGGGATGCAGAACATGGCCGGGGAGCTGCATGACGACCCTGCCGCTGGAGCGTTCGCTGGGTGTCCCGTGGACATGCGGTGGGCGGAACCGCATGCCTACCCTGCCACTGGGGCCTGCGGCGGAGCTCTATTTGGGGGGGAGCCGCATGTGGACCCTGCCACTGGGGCGGGTGGAGCTCCCTACGGGGCCACGAACCAGGTGAGGAGCGTGCCGAAATGGACATGCAGCGGGCGGAGAGCCGCATATGGAACCTGCCACTGGGGCCTACGGTGGAACTCCCTCTGGGGCTACGACACGTAAGGGGTGTGCCGGAATGGACATGCGGTGGGCGGGGAGCCGCATGTCGACCCTGCTACTTGGGCCCTCGGTGGAGCTCGCCATGGGGCCACGAAACGTGTGACTGGTGCGGAGGGCCGACGAGGCACGGATGGGAGGAGGAAGGTAGGGGAGAAGGAGAGGTTCTCAAAACGAGGACTGCACACCACAGGACCATTGGGAAAAACGACGACGGCGACGCTGGCACAGTCGACGTCGCGCATGGACGCACGGGCCCCCTGGATGTTCCTGGATATATGGGCGAATTTCCTTGGAAGCCTCTGGCGGCCTCTGGAGGCAAACAAACAACAAACTTAGAAGCCCCCCTCCTCCCCCTTTCCCTCCTCCTCCTCGTCCTCCTCCTCTTCCTCCCTCCTCTGGCTCAGAATCCAACTGTCAATGTCTCTTGCTGCCCGCTGCGCGCAGAATCGGCGGCACCGGCCGCAGTCTCCGCAATACCAGGAAACATGGCGGACTCTCGCGCACTGGACGACATCGTCGTCATCGCCGTCGTCGTCTCGAAGTCGGTCCCCGGGCCCCACCCGGGGTCCATCCTAGTCAGTTACAATAAAGGGACCGACCACAAGAAACCTTCCACAAGAGACCCAACCCTGAGACCCCAGGACGTCCGCTGCCTTTTTGTGCGGGCACGTCACGCTCTGCATGGCGAGTCTATCAAACCCAAGACACCCAGGGCACCCTGGAAGCAAGCAGGGTGTTTCTTGGCGTGGGCAACCGTTGCAGTCAGGCCTCTGCCCCGGAGGAATTCCTGACGGCCCCAGGGCCCGAGGCGGGCCCTCAGGGGCAGAGTCTGGCGAAGCACACATGTCGTCGATCGATCCTGGAACACCTCGGACCGCCACCGTCGTCGTCGTCGTCGTCGTCGTCGTCGTCGTCGTCGTCGTCGTCGTCGTCGTCGTCGTCGTCGTCGTCGTCCTTCAGGGTAGGCGGCACCGGCCGTGAGGCCTTCACAATATCTTGAACCTCGGGTCGTCGATCGATCCCGATGTCGTCGATCCTCGGACCTCGATCGCCGTCGATCGCCATCGATCGTCGCCGATCGTCGCCGATCGTCGTCGATCGTCGTCGATCGTCGATCCTCGAGCCTCGATCGTCGTCGATCGTCGTCGCTGCCCCCCCAAAGCTGGGCCCCGTTGGCCCCTCTGCCCAGGGGTGCGCTCCGGGCAGAGCCTCGAGACGGGCCCCCGGCCGTGGCGACGAGACGCCTCCGAAAAATATGGCCACGGAGGGCGAGGTGCGCGCAGCAGCCTCGCTTTCTCGAATCTTCAAAACCTCGATCCTCGATCCTCGAAACCTCGATCCTCGATCCTCGATCCTCGACCCTCGAACCTTCAAAACCTCAAATCCTCGATCCTCGATCCTCGAATCTTTGTGAAAGGGCCCTGGGACACACAAATCCGCCGATCCGGCGTGTGAGTTTCAAGGAGTCTCAGCTACAGCCTCGAGGCTGAGCCTCAGCCTCTGGGGGGGTTGCCGGGGTGGCTCTGCCGGGGAAGGGGGGGTGGGGGGGGGGGTGCGAGTTTCCGGCGGATGCGTTTTTTGACACCCCTCACAAGGATCGTGGCCTCCGAGGGGGTTCCGAACTCGAGTACCACCCCTCCCGCACCAAGAGGCTCCGAGGAGGCCTCCAAGAGGCCCCAAGGGGCGCAGAAGAGGCCCCCAAGAAGCCCCAAGAGGCTCCCAAGAGACCCCCAAGAGGCCCTCTAGTGGCCCCAAGAGGCCCAAGAGGCCCCCAAGAAGCCCCAAGAGGCGCCCAAGAGGCCCCCAGAAGTCCCAGCCAACCACGAGATCCCAACCAGCATCCATGAGGCCTCTGACCCACCACCCACGCACGGTGGCGGGATAGGCCGACGGCCACTGGATAAATGCTGAGTGAGAGGAGGGGAGGGAAAAAGAGAGGAGGGACGAGGGCTAAGAAGGATCACATCAGTCGGAGCGCCCCGGATCGGCGGCACTGGCCGAAGGCCACTACAATAAACAGACTCAAAGAACGGGATTCCCCATCATTTTTCCCATGTTTCTGGGTTTCTGTCTTCTCTCCCACTTGCCATATCTTCTTAGATTTTCGGTGGAATCGACGATTCATTGTGTCTGTGTTTCTTTCCTCCTGATCGATCCTCGAACCTCTGTCAGAGACCATCCAAGAGCCATGAGCACAACTTCTCGGAGGGCCGCGCGGATTTCGTTGCATTGGCGCTGGACCCCCCTCCCCAGCGCGCGGGGCGCGCCGGGGGCAGCGCCGGAGGCGCCGCCATGGGGGCTCCAGGGTGCTGGCGTGGGTGTGGCCGTCGACCGTAGACGTGGACGTGGGGACCAAGGTAAGCACAGATACGGATCCGTAAAGAATGAAGGGGCCCTGGGACACACAAATAAATAGACACAAATAACAGGATTCCCGATATGTTCCTATATTTTCTGAATTTTTGTCTTCCCCCCACTTTCCATGTTTTCGTATATTCTCTGGGGAATCGACGATTAATTGTGCCTGTGTGTGTGTGTTTTTTCCCCTCCTGAAAGAAGAGCAACGAGGCCGCCGCGGCTACTCCTGCCGGAAAATCCTAGCAATCCGCGCGGAACTCCGAGAGATTACGTTGATGGCGCTCTGCTTCTCGAGGCATGCAGGTCGGACCTGGGACAGAAGAACATCCCCGAAGAACAGACCCTGAACATCCAAGGGTACCCTCCTCAGGATGCACAAGAGCGTCCAACAAGCACGAAGAACATTATAGTAGAGGCCTCTTAGATGGGGTCCGAGTAGATGGGACTGTAGGATCGCGCCGCATCGGCGATGCATCGGCGACGCATCGGCGATGCATCGGCGATGCATCGACGATGCGTCGGCGATGCACCGGCGATGCACCGGCGACGTCGGCGTGCATCGGCGCCCCCGTCGTGGAGGAAATCAGGCTCCGCATCCAGCCACATCGCCGATGCATCGGCCATGCGGCGCGATCCTCCGACCCCATCTACTCCGACCCCATCTGGGAGGCCTAGCATCCACGCGAAGGCACACTCCCCGAACCGACCTCGATCTTACACCTCGACTCGACCGTACGTGGCGGGATGCGTGCGACAAGCCCGGGCGGCGGGCGGCCCCGACGAAAACTCCTCGAGGCAACAAAACAACAACAAACAACGCGCCGCGCCCCGCGCCGCGCCCCGCGCACCGGAAGCCCGGAGAGCCCGTCCTGAGATTCGAGGCCCCTTCGATGGGGTCGGAGTGGATGGGACTGGAGGATCGCGCCGCATCGCCGATGCATCGCCGATGCATCGCCGCTGCATCGGCGATGCATTGGCGATGCACCAGCGACGCCGGCGATGCATCGGCGACGTCGACGTGAAGAAGATCGGGATTCGCATCGAGCCGCATCGCCGATGCGGCGCGATCCTCCGACCCCAACCAATCACTCGGCCCCCGTCCATGAGGCCTAGAGCAACCCAGCCGTGGCGACGAGAGCACCCCGGGATGCTCGAACAGCACGGAACACCCAGCCAAGTCTCGGGCCTCGATTTTCGGCGGCGAGCGAGGGGGTGGAAGTGAGAAGCGGCGGGCCTTCTCAGGAGGCGGTGGGGCTTCTCAGAAGCCCCCCTCGCGCCCCCTTAGCAACTTCCAGCGTCTTCGGGGAAGGCTCAGAAGAGCACTTCTCAGAATGAACGGGGACTTCCGAGCCTTCTGAGAAGGCCAGCCCCTTCTTCCTCCTCCTCCTCCTCGTCGTCCTCCTCCTCCTCCTCCTCCTCCTCCTCCTCCTCCTCCTACTCCTCGTCCTCGTTCCCCCCCGGGCTCGCCGCCGACTGTCGACGCGGTCGGGCTGGCGGCGCCCTGCCGCACCGGCTGCGGCGAATGCCATCGCCAGGCAGCACGCGCCGGCCGCGACGACTAATGGCGACGAGATGGCCCTGGGCGGGGCTCGAAGTTTACACTGGGCCGTCCATGAGGGAGCCGAGGGACACACACACACCCACACACCCACACACCCACACACACATTCACACACATTCACACACACACACACACTCACACACACAACACACAACACCCAACACCCAACACCCAACACCCAACACCCAACACCCAACACACAACACACAACACACAACAACACAACAACACAACACCACAACACCACAACAACACAACAACACAACAACACAACAACACAACAACACAACAACACAACAACACAACAACACAACAAACACCAAACACCAAACACCAAACAACACACAACACACAACACACAACACACAACACACAACACACAACACACAACACACAGCACACAGCACACAGCACACAGCACACAACACACAACATACAACACAACACACAACACCCAACACCCAACACACAACAACACAACAACACAACAACACAACAACACAACAACACAACAACACAACAACACAACAACACAACAACACAACAACACAACCCACAACCCACAACACACAACATGCAAGACACAAACACACAAACACACACACACACTCTCACAAATAAACATGCACACACGAGTCCCAGGATACCCCATTTTTCTGCTCACACGTGGATTCTCGCCTTCTCCCCCACTTCCCACTCTTCCGGGGCATCGACGACTCATCGTGTCTCTGTGTGCTTTTCCTTCCCCCCCTGAGTCTCGTCGGCCAGGGCAGCTGTCTCGGCCGAGCCCGCCGCCGCTCGGAACGCGAACCTCCGTCATCGGCCGCTGCCGCCGCCGCCCGCCAGACGCCGCGCCTCGGCCGCGAGGCGGTGCCGCGCGTCCGGGTCGGAGCCGAGCGCCTCGCCCCGCCGCGCCAGCCCGAGCAGCTCCTTCCGGGCGCGGCGAGTCGGGGCGGGCGCATCGGTCGAGGCGGCGCCGCTTCGAGGGTTCGAGGAGCGATGAGCGAGGCCTCGAGGCCTCGAGGCTTCGAGGCTTCGAGGGTTTCGAGGGTTCGAGGTTTGGAGGTTTCGAGGGCGTCCTCTGCGCCTGTCTTGGGAGCCCTCGTGGGGTCACAGCGCCCAGGTTTGCCCCGGCAGCCTCGTGGGCGCGCCGGCGGCGCCCGGGGGTCCCAGCCAGTGGGGCCGCGGGCGCGGCACTCTTTTGGGGGCCTAGATCTCACTTCGCAGCTCCTCTCTGAAGGGGCCCTGGGACACGCAAATAAATACACACAAATAAGAAGATCCCCCTATATTTTCTTATATTTTCTGGGTTTCTGTCTTCCCCCCCACTTCCATATTTTCCTATATTTTCTGGGGAATCGACGATTAATTGTGTCTGTGTGTTTCTTTCCCTCCTGACTCTCGGGGGCCATGGGAGAGCATCTCCATGGGCCGTCCACCCAAACAAACAAATTGGGACACATGCTCTCGCGCCAAGCAGAGAGGAAGAGAAAACGCCATAGACACAAACTTTTGGCGCTCTGCGCGGTTTATTTGGATCCGCGCTGGACCCCCCTCCTCCCTGGCGCGCGGAGCGCGCCGGATGCGGCGCCGGAGGCGCTGCTGGGGTCAACCTCGCCTAGTCGTCGCGCTGCGACGGGGGTCGGAGCGCCTTCGGCGCGAGGTGGCTGCCCGCGACGAGGGTCGATGTGAAGCTGTCGGCGGGGGTGACGCCCCCCCGACGCTTAGTAAGAAACTCGGAGTTGGTGGAGACAGGAAGCAACAAAAGCGGCCAACGCAGATTGTGAGGCAACTTGGCAGCGAGCGAGGGGGGAGCATGAGAAGGAGCAGGCGTTCCCAGAAGGCGGCGGGACTCCCCAGAAGCCCTCATGCCTCCTGAGAGGTTTCCTGCGTCTTCGGGAACAACTTGCGAAATTTCTCAAAGTCCAGGGGACTTCCGAGCCTTCTGAGAAGGCCCGCCCCTTCTCACTCCCCCCCTCGCTCGCCGCCGAGCAACTACCGGGAGGTATTCGTCGGAGGATTTAGAGAGAATTCGACCATTGGGGGGCTGCTACGTCGAATGAGGCCGCGGATTCAAGCGGATCAAGCGGGAATAAACCAAATTAAGCGGGATGGGCGGCTAGCGTAGATTGAGCTCGGGCCCGTAGCTGGTCCTGGAAACGGAAAGGTCGCTTTTTCACCGTTTCCGACAAAAGGTCTCTTGAACATGGAAGCGGTAGAACAAACAAATCCTGGAAACGCCAAAATAATGGCTCTGGAGCTAGAACCGGAACACTAAAAAAACACGACAAAACCGGCAACAACAACGGCGACGGACCCGGCAACAAACACGACAAAACGGGACCGGTAACAAAAACGCCCATGCCGTTTCCATGGCCCACTAAGCTCGGGCCCGCCCGAAGAATCCCACCAGCCTTGCAGGGTGTGCGTGTTTTAGCGAATTTCTTCTTCCAACCCCCCTTGTCCTCCTTCGGGGACGGGTTTACCCCTCCCCCTCCCCCTCCCCCAGGACCTGGAGGAGGGGTTCTGCGAGGTCGGCGAGGAAGCCACAGTCATTGATTTTACACAGGTCTTCGAAATATGTTTGCCTCCGGGGGGGGCGTGATTAGAGAGCTCCCCTTCTTTGATCGGTCTCCGCCAATATGGCCCAAACATGGTCCCCAAAGCTCCCAAGGGCGCTCCAAGAGGGCCCCAAAAAGTGCCGCGAGAATTCCCAAACCCGCAACTTGTACGAACGGTTTGGCTACAATTTGGCGTCCAGGGGGGCGAACCCTGATCAAGGAGCCCCACTCTTTTGATCGAACTCCTTGGCCCCAGAGGCTCTCAAGTGTGCCCCGAGAGGGCTCCAAGAAATGGCAAGGAAGCCCCAGGAGGCCCCCAAGATGCCCCCAAGAGGCCCCGAAGAGGCTCCCAAAGAGACCCCAGAGGCCCGCCAGAGGCACCAAAGACGCCCCACGAAGCTCTGGCGAGAAGTCCACAGTTATTGATTTACTGAAGCTTTGGCAGCACTTTGGCCTCCTTGGGGGGGGACCCTGAGCAAGGAGCCGCCCTCGTTTGATCCGCCGAGGCTCCCAAGGGTGCCCCAAGACGGCCCCGAGAGGCTCCCAGGAAACCCAAAAAGGCCCCTTTGCCCGCCACCCTGTCTGCCGCGCGTGGCACCGTGCCCGGAGGATTTCCCCACGACGCCAACGATGGCGGATACTTTTTTGCACTGGCAGTCGCCCGCCAGATGGTTGACCGCACTGCTCGTGTGCACGCCGACTGCAAGACTGCCATCAGTCAAGCCGTGTTGCGTGAGCATGAGCAGCTTCGAGTCGCGTTCGCACGTCCGGAACCACATGCGCGTGGATACGGCAGAGAACCTTGCGCTGGAGGAGAGGAGGCTATGCAGCTTCACACTGAGATCACTCCCGGTGTGGCTGAGAGACGGGATGCTGATGCTCGCTCCGTGCTCACTTGTGTTGAGCTGGCTGCCCCTATCCTTCCCCTGTGTCAGTCTGGTGCCACGCGTGAGAGGCCTCTTGCGAGGGTGAGGTCTGCTCGGCCCCTCCCAGGCTGGCCCGGGTGGGCGGAAGGACCCCTTGGCACCCGATGTAGGCACTGCCTGGCCACTGCTGGGCACGAGCACTCCCAGCAAGCCCTCGGTTGCCCTGGAGCCACGAGTTTTGCTCCTCCATCCTTGGACGGCCCCAGGGACATCTGCTGGTGGGAGTCGCCTCCCACGAAATCCATCCGAGGGCCTCCCGTGGCGGGTCAAACACGACCCAGCTTCAATGTTTGCGTGCTCGTTGTGGTTGCTGGGCCCAACGTTGCGCTATGAACCTCCCTAAGCCTTGCAGCATTCCGTCCGAGATCGGCACAAAGGTGTTCCCTATGTGTCGCAGCGGTCCAGGGCCCAGTGGCATGGCCAGGCAAAGTATTGAATCTACAGTCCATGTCAAGAGGCTGGAAGTTGATCCCAAGCCCAAGTGCCAGGCGGTTGCCGAACCTGTTGTTTTCTTCGGCCTTCTCTCGGCTCCCGCCCGTCCCTGCCTATGAGCAGCGCATGGCAACCTTACGGGAGCGCAAATCGGGCTCGTGACGCCCAGGCAGAGGACAGTTGTTTTTGCCTTCCGCTCCGTCGCGGCCCCGGCAGGCTCCTCATCCCCGCCAGGGTGGCACCTGTCACTCCGAGGGGCGCCACCCAGCCGCTCCAGACTTGCGAATCTCTTCCCCTCGGGGCTGTCCTCACCCGATCTCCTGCCCGCCCTCCCCTCCCCTCTCCAAAGCTCTGGGTCCCCCAGCTTCGCGCATCGCGTGTCGCGATGCGCGACGCGCGCTGCGCACACCCGCGCCGCCATCTGGCGGCCCGCTGCGCACACCCACGCCCTTCAGATGGCAGCCATCTGGCTCAGGCCGCGATGCGCGAAGCGCGACTCATCTTTATGCTGCGCGGGCAAGATGATTGCATGTCCACGGCAACTTGAATTTTCGGACCCCCTTGCCCAGACACCCGAGGCGCAGTAGACGTAAATATGAATCTGGCCCTAAGAGGCTAGACAAGAAGGCCCACACACACATAGATAGAAACAAATCCTAGGATTCCCCATCTAGTCCAATAGTTTCTGGGTCTTCCTCTTCCCCCACACTTCCCATATTTTTCAGCGTGGACGATTCATCGTGTCTGTGTGTCGTTGCCCTTTCTGATCGATGTCTGTCCACCTCCACTGCGCCTCGGCCTCTCCTCGGCCAGCGCCCCTCCCTGGAGAGCCCCCCCGCCAGGACAGCGGTTTCGGCTTCGCGTCGCGCGCGAGGGGCGGGGCGATGCTGCGGGGGCGGGCGGGCGACAGGAATGTACAGTCAACTTATCAGAAGGATGCGCGATAATGAAGGGGCTCTGGGACACACACATAGATACACACAAATAACACGATTACCAATATTTTCCCATATATTCTGGGTTTTTGTCTTCCCCCCCACTTCCCATACTTTCCCATCGTTTCTGGGGAATCGACGATTCATTGTGTCTGCGTGTTTCTTTCCCTCCTGAGATATGGATGCATGGGACTGGGAAGGCCGTGTCGAAGCTTTTCGAGCAAGGCGCGGCCAGCGAAAGCGGCAAAAGATGGACCGAGGAGGCAAGGATGCAAGGGTAGCCTGGGGAAGGTTGCCCATCCTTGCAATGCGGGTTGACTGTACCTCCCCCTGGCTAGGGCGCCGACGGGCCAAAAGACCGCCCCTCCCCGGGGAGGTGCGGCGGTGGCCGGGGCTGTCCCGCGGGTATCCCGTCGGTGGCCCGCAGCCCGGCCCACCTTCCCAGCCTCCGCAAACTCCTGCGCCTCGAGGACCTCCCGACCCGGGCCTGTGCGAACCCAGGTCGGTCTGGCTTGGCTTTGCAGTGCCCTGCAGGATCCTGCACGCTACAATAGGGGCTCGACCACAAGAAACCTTCCACAAGAAGCCCACCCCTGAGACCCCAGGACGTCCATGGTTTTTTGGAGCGGGAACGTCACGCTTTCCACAGCAAAACCCTTGAAACTCAAGACGTCCAGGGCACCCTGGAGGCAAGCAGGGTGCTCCTTGGCATGGGTCCCCACTGTAACCCAGGTCAGTGCACCCCGGGCTGCGCAGGATCCTGCAAGATCCGCCACTCCAGCTGACCCCCGTATGCACTGACCCCCGTCTCAAAGCTCGTCCTCCTCTTCCTCCTCCTCCTCCTCCTCCTCCTCCTCCGCCCCCCCCGAGCTCCACGCGGCCAAGGCCGCCCGGCTTCCGCCGTGCGGAGCCTCCCACCCCACCAGGGGGGAGAGCACCTCGCCCCTGCCGCGGGGCACTCGCACGCAGAATGTTTCGAGCCTGTTGGCCTGGTCGACGCCAGCCCTGGTGTGTAGATCGGGCAGGTCCTCCTGCAAGTACGCAGTCCAAAAACATTTTCGAAAATAGCAAAAACG